CATAATATATTTTTTCTTTCCCCTTAATTTGTGGCTTATCCACAACTCGCTTCTCACTCTCAGACCTTTTACTTTCTTCTTCGTCAGAATAATGGACTAACACAGTGAAGGATTTTGGGGCTTTTGGTGGAGAGGATGGTTCATGGATAGATTGGACTTGGGTGGTTGTGGAAATATGTGTAATAGGGCTAAGGTTTGGTTTTTCTTTGGTAATTTCAGAAGGGGTCTTGTTAGGTGAATTTGCCATGATAGTCGAGTTTTGCATTTTTGCAGGAAGACGAGGCTAGGGTTTCTTGTTTAGTTTAGAAATTTGAGCGGGCTTTACATATTTTGATTAGAACGATGGAATAAAGAGAAAAGAGGTATTTATAGGGAATGATTTGACAGTTTGTTGGCTTTAATTTTTTCTTTTAATTGATCATAATCTGTCTCTAATTTGGAGAGAAGGGGTAACCGTCATAATTTTGAAATTTTGAAAAATTGCGGTTAAGTGAATCAATTGGGAGGCAGAGACGTGTGCAGGAAGTTTAGGAAACTAATCCTGATTGCACATATACTGGAGTTAATCATGATTACCCTACGATTTGATGGTTTTTGAACCTGATCCACTAATGATTTTTTGGGATTAGAGAGACTGGTTTATGGAGTTAACAAAATAGGTGGGAATCTGGTTCAATGACATGTCAGTTTAACGATTAAGTACAACAATCGATTGGAGAGGGGTTATATACATGGGTGTCAAACAATCAGAGTCTTTGACCTATTTTCTCAATGTTGGTTGTAGAACCTATTCTAGTCCAGCTTTTATCATAAAATTACTCAACCTTGCCCTGGAATCCATGACATGCGTGCATAGCTTTTACAGTATAAGACTGAGTTAAAATTATTCAACACATTTACTCGCTGAACAAATAGTCAAACATAGTCAATCATTGAGGAAAGTCAAAAGTGTCTTAATCCATCTTGATTAAACCAAGCTCCAAGCAGTTTTTTTCAATGTGATCCCTGCTCAAAACTTTTGTAACAATGTAAACAATTTGATATTCTATCTTACAAAACTCCATAGTTATATGACCTTTTTCGATATTATCTCTCAAGAAGTGGTGCCTCACATCAATATGTTTTGGTTCTCTCGTGATGGATTGGTGTCTTGGCTATGTTCATTGCACTTGTCACAAAGTATGGGGACCTTTTCAATCATCACTCCATAATCCTCCAGTTGTTGCTTGATCCATAACAATTGAGCATAACACAATGCAGCAGCTACATACTCAACTTCAGCAGTTGATAAGGCCACAAAAATTTGTTTCTTAGAAGCCCATGAGGTTAGACGTGATCCAAGAAAATGAGCCATTCTTGATGTGCTCTTCTTGTCTACCAAATATCCAGCATAATCGCCATCTGCATATCCAATCAATTCGAAGGAGTCTCCTACTGGATAACAAAGAACCAGGTCTTGAGTACCCTTGAGGTACCTCAAGATTCTTTTAATGGTCATCAATTGTGATTCTTTTGGACTAGACTGGAATCTTGCACACAACTCCACATTGTACACAATGTCATGTCTACGTGCAGTCAAGTAGAGCAAGTAACCAATCATACCTTTGTTCTTCTTTTTATCAACAAGTGTACCAGATTCATCCATGTCCAGCCTGGTTGCAGTAGCAATAGGAGTATCAATTATTTTAGCATTGTCCATATCAAACCTTTTGAGTATCTCCTTGATGTACTTCTGTTGGTGTATCATACTTCCTTTTTATGTCTGCTTGTGTTGGTGTATCAAACCAGGTCTGCTCCAAAGATGATGTCATCAACATATAGTTGCCCTATCAGCAGGTTTTTGCCACTCTTTAACAAAGATAGTATGTTAAAAATTTTCCCTCGTGAGATCCCGTTCTCTAGGAGAAATTTTGATAGTCTTTCATACCATACCCTTGGATTATGTTTTAACCCATATAGTGCCTTGTCCAACTTGTACACATAATCTGGAAAATTATGACGTTCAAATCCTAGAGGTTGATAGGTACCCATTTAAGAGGCTCTCTTCACATCCATTTGATATAATTTGAAGCCTTTGTATGATGCAAAAGCAATGAGCATATAAATTGCCTCCATCCTGGCCACGTGAGCAAATGCTTTATCGTAGTCAATTCCTTCTTCTTGATTGTAACCACCTTGGTGTCCCATAATGGAGGCAGTATGCTCAGAATTTTCCTCACAATCTTGTTACGAGGAATCACTTGTTCAAGAGATATTAATTCATTGACAATAGCAGTGAGCCTGTTATGCGTCTCCAGGATACTGTCTTTCATCTTGAACAGTTCATATTGCCTAGTTAGCATGTCAATATTTGACTGCTTCACTAGAGAGGTACCTTCAAGAGCACACTATTGGGCATGCTATATAGCTTTGGCATCTCTGCAAGCAGATATTCTATTGTATTCATCTTGACCAATTTCACAGATCAAAATCTTCTTAGCTTTGGCATTGTTTTGAACTCCTTTAACATTTTCTTTAGAGTATTTTTCTCTTGGCTTTGGTCCAATAGGGACACCCTTGTCATCAAACAGCACTGGGATCTTTGGTCCCTTCTCAACAATGTCCTAGAGTTCCAGGTCTTCTCCTTCCAAGAAATCATGCATCCTTTCCTTCCACCATCCATAGTATTTTTCATTGAACAGTGGTGGCCTAACGGTCGATTGTCCTTCTTGAACATCCGGTGGTGCAGCCATTGTAGATTCTTTTAAGGCGTTAGCCTCTTACAAAAGAACCTGCTCTGATACAAATTATTAATTTACACTACACTTAGACACAATAAAGGAGGGATGAACTGTGTCTTGCCTGATTTTTGCATTTTCAAAGAACCTGGTTCTTTGAACTAGTTAAGTAGACTCAATCAAGAATAATTGCGGAAAAGTAATCAATACAAAGAGTTTTACGTGAAAAACTTCCTTGCTCAAGGGAGTAAAAAATACGACATACCCGATATGATTTTCCTCAAATCTCCACTAACTTCAAAGAGCAGTTTTATGTTACAACTTAATAACCAAGGGGACTAACTTAGTACCCTAACCCCTAAAATCAATCTAATTGTAGCAACTCCTTTCTTGACTAACTCTAACCTAGAAAGCTAACAAAAATAAAGTCTCAATAGTAACCCATTAATATACTTATATGAAAGTAGATAGGTTAAAACTCCAAACAAAAGACACAACCTAATAACTAAAGAACTCGAGCGGCTTCATCTTTAAGAACATGTTCTTCAATTAATTGAGTTGAATCTTCAAAAATACCTTATTGTTTTGCTTACTATTGTCAGAAGTATTCTCACAATTTGAATCAATAGCAGTAGTCTTGAATTATGTCAAAAGGAATTCTCTGATAGGTTTTAGGTTGGCCGAAATTTCTCTTCAATTAATGCTCCAAAATCTAAAATATTTTGGTGAAGGAAATTCTCTCCTGTTTAAGCTTGGTTTCCTTATTTGACTCCAACTTGCATCCTTCTTGCTTCCCACGAGTATTCATCATATATGCATATTCCTTTTTGTTGCACGAAGTCCTTCCAGACACGTATTAATTTTTGGAAACAGATAAGATCTTTTAGAAACCCTTACTCGCATGGGAATGCTGGTCTTTCGCGTCTGACTTGCTACTTCAGCTAGCCTACAACTAACCTGGTTCTTTTGACATTCAACATTCTCATTCTTGCAACATGCCAGACTCGATCCTGAAACCCGGTTCTCATCACAATTTATTAATCATCAAAATATAACATGTTCTAAGCTCAATATTCTCCATCTTCTTCTTCTCCTTCCTCTAATTTCTTCTTCTTTTAATAAATTATGAGCACACAACTAAAACTAAAAAACTAACAAACTATGTACTTTAAAAAACTAAAGATTTACTACTTATTTGTAGTTGTAATTAAGTGGGTCATATTTCATTGAGCTTATATTGTCTATCCTTGAATAGGTTTGGTTGGAGAAAAAAATTAAAAATACCGTTGAATGTTGTTGAGCTTAAAAACTTATTAAAGTAGAGAATATGATTGTATTAATTTTTGAAGGTTTATGTTGAATCTAAATATTGAAATTATTTAGATTGGCATTAGAAAGTTTTATATCAAATTTAGAGTCACTTGGATCGAAGTTGATTTGGATCATTTTGAACAAAACCTTATTGGTGAATTTCTACCTAGCATGTTATGGTGATCAGTGGAATTTTTGCCAAAAATCCTGACGATCACCAGGATTTTCAGCTAGAAATGCTTAATAATGATGGAGATTCTTCAGGATTTGTGGCAAAATTCTGGTGACACGTCATGTTATGGTGATCACTAGGATTTGGCCAATTCTAATGATCACCATAACTTGTTGTTAAGGAAGATCTTGCTCAATGTAAAAAATGAAATTCTAGCAATCACAAGATGTTTACTTCCCGAAATTCTAATCGGATATTATTTTTTCAAGATCTTTTTAATATGATTAAATATAAACGGTAACATTGAATGATTCTATTTATGCAAATCACCCAATCAAAAAATACAAAAATTTATAATAGGTCAAACTAGATGCATGTCTAGGGCCTATATCACTAAAAACATAGGACTAGCATAAACTAATCGAATGTAAAAATGGTGATAGGTAGCTATTTTTAGTACACTTATTTAAAATATATCCAGTTTGTAAAAGCTATTTAAAGTAACAGTCTTCTTCTTCTCCTTCTTCTTCTTCTTCTTCTTCTTCTTCTTCTTCTTCTTCTTCTTCTTCTTCTTCTTCTTAATTGAAATATGAAGGTCTGAAGAATTTGAACTTCATTCAAATTATTGAGGTATAAAATTAAACTTTAGAATATTGGCCATTCAAACTTCATATCTGACTGTGTGAAGTTTAAAACTTTAGATCTGTAATTAAAATTATAGACTTGGAGGTCTAAGGTTTAATTTTAAGACTTTAAAAACTTTATAAATTTCGACTATTCTTTAAATAGTGACCCTAGAAATGGCTATTTGTGCACTTTGCCCTATTATGACATCCATGGACCCCAAAAGCAGGAGGATGATTCAAGACAATAAAACCAGTAAAATAACATGAAATGAATAAAAACAAATTTAGTTACAAAGCCCTCCACTGAGATTTTTAGGTGATACTCACCTTTCATATAGTTTCAAATTTTACATAAACATCCTTTTGTCTTAGTGTTTTATGATCTCGTTCTACCTTTTGAATAAAACCTTTATCCCAAATTAAATACATTCTGAGTGATCAGACAATATATGTGAAGAAACAATTTCCGTCATTTACTTACCTCTGGGAGAATATAGAAAGTAGTCTAGCATGGTAGACTTGCATGAAAGATAAAGAATCACCTAAGAAAATTCCAATATTTGAAATCGGCTATTATCTTTCATGTTTTGCTTCAAAATTTTTGTTTATCAGATGCTAATTGAAATTATTTATGTCTATATATATATGTGTGAACATAGCCTAAACATTGTAAGTCCATCTTGCATCATTTAAAAGTAGGACTTCAATACCATAACAAAATATCTGTCTTCTCAACTATTCATGGATCAACCCCCACCAAAAAGAAACTTATTAACTCAATCAACATCAAGACTATCTTTTCACTTATACAAGTAAATTCCAATTTAATTTATGCAAAAAATGAGAAATTAAAGAACTATTATTGCAACTCAAGTTAAAGCACTAGGATCCCGGGTGAGACCCTTGCGACGCAGCACAGGTGGTGATGGACGTTGGTAATATGATAAGGAGGAAGAAGAGGTCCGTACGAGGACATCCGAGGATCAGGTGGGCGCCTTAACTAAGGATAAAGCTCAGGAGTTGGAAGGGAGGTTATCGGCTATGGGAGCTTGGAGGAGTAGTGAGGACGCGAGCATTATGTGGTCGACAATGACTGACTGTATTAGGAAGGCGGCTAGAGGTGTTAGGGGTCTCGTCGGGCTACTCTGGTGGCCATAGAGGCGACTGGTGGTGGAATGAAGTGGTTCAAGGTAAAGTGGAAGCGAAGAAGACGGTGTACCTTAAGTTAGTAGGGAGCACCGGTGAGGAAGAAAGGAGAGCGAATAGTGAGAGGTATAAGGTAGCTCGGAAGGAGGTGAAGCTGGCGGTCACGGAGGCTAAGACAGCGGCCTTTGCTCGTCTGTACGAGGAACTAAGGGACAAAGGCGGGGAGAAGAAGTTATTCCGGCTTGCTAAGGCGAGAGAGAGGAAGGCTCAGGATCTGGACCAAGTGAGGTGTATCGAAGACGAGGACGACAGAGTTTTGATGGGGGAGGACCAGATTAAGCGGAGATGGCAAACCTACTTTCATAAACTTCTGAAGGAAGAAGGCAATCAGGATATTATGCTAGGTGAACTGGGGCATTCCGAGAGTCACCATGACTTTAGGTATTGTAGGCGCATTAAGGTAGATGAGGTCGTGGAGGCTATGCATAAGATGATTAGGGCAAAGCTACCGGTCCAGACGAAATTCTAGTTGAATTTTGGAGGTGTGTGGGTAGAGCAGGCTTGGAGTGGCTGACTGGGCTGTTTAATGTTATTTTAAAGACGAATAGGATGTCGGAGGAGTGGAGGTGGAGTACAGTGGTTCTGTTGTACAAGAACAAAGGTGATATCCAGAGTTATTACAACTATAGGGGTATCAAATTACTGAGTCATACCATGGAAGTTTGGGAGAGGGTGGTAGAAGGGAGGGTGAGGAGGACGGTGTCTATTTCAGACAACCAGTTCGGGTTCATGCTGGGGCGTTTTACCACTAAAGCTATCCACCTTATTAGGAGGTTGGTGAAACAGTACAGGGATAGGAATAAGGATCTGCACATCACATGGTTTTTATTGATCTGGAGAAAGCGTATGACAAGGTTCCTATGGAGGTTTTATGGAGATGCTTGGAGGCAAAATGTGTGCCGGTTGCTTACATTAGGGTGATTAAAGACATGTATGATGGAGCTAGGACTCGGGTTAGGATAGTGGGAGGTGACTCGGAGCATTTTCCGGTTGTTATGGGGTTGCACCAAGGGTCTGCGCTCACCCCATTCCTATTTGCCATGGAGATGGATGCACTGGCACACCATATTCAATGGGAGGTGCCATAGTGTATGTTATTTGCTGATGACATAGTTTTGATTGATGAGATGCGAGGCGGTATCAATGAGAGGATGGAGGTTTTGAGACAGGACCTTGAGTCTAAGAGTTTCAAGTTGAGTAGGACTAAGACGGAATACCTAGAGTGAAAGTTCAACGTCGAGCCAACGGAAGCGGGATTGAACGCGACGCTTGACTACGTCATACCTAAGAGGGGCAGTTTCAAGTACCTTGGATCGGTTATACAGGGAAATAGAGAGATCGACGAGGATGTCACACACCGTATAGGGGTGGGGTAGAAAAAGTGGATGTTAGTATCTAGAGTCATGTGTGACAAGAAAGTGCCACTGATACTCAAGATATGTTTTATGGAGCGGTGGTTAGACCGATCATGTTGTATGGGGCTGAGTGTTGGCCAGTTAAGAACTCACATGTCCAGAAGATAAAAGTGGCAGAGATGAGGATGTTGAGGTGGATGTGCGGGCACACTAGGATGGATAAGATTAGGAGTGAAGATATTCGCGAGAAGGTGAGTGTGGCCCCCATGGATGACAAGTTGGGGGAAGCAAGGCATAGATGTTTCGGGCACGTTCAAAGAAGAAGCCCAAATTCCACGGTAAGGAGGTGTGAGCGGTTGGCATTAGTGGGTACGAGGAGAAGTAGAGTGCGGCCTAAGAAGTATTCGGGAGAGGTGATCAGGACGGACCTGACGTTGCTTCAGATTACCGAGGACATGGCCCTAGACAGGAAGTTGTGGAGGTCGAGCATTAAGATTGTAGGTTAGGAGGTAGTTGTGCATATTTCTACGGCGCACCAGTTGAGGCTAGTCTGTTAGGATTTAGTCTTAGACTGCTAGTGGTTAATGTTGAGTTCCTACTACTCTTTCGTTCATGCCATGGCCCTCTCACCCTCGGGAGTCGTGATGGCACCTACTAGTGAAAGCTAGGCAAGCCAACCATTTGTACTTTTTACCTTTTTCCCATTTTAATCCTTTAACAATTAATAACCAACATTAAATAATCAGCGGAATTTAATAAGCGGAAGACTGAAATGCAATATTTTAACAATGATGACAATACCGATCCATAACATAAACTACCCAGAACTGGTGTCACAATTTCACAGACTGTCTAAGAATACTACAAATAAAGGTCTGAAAGATTATTACAACACTGTCTCTGGAATACATGAAAGAAACAGAATGAAAGGATAGAAGGAGACGCCAAGGCCTGCGGACGCCTGCAGGACTACCTCGGGTCACCTGGTGAACTAGAAGCGGCAACCTCACTGCGGTCTGAAAACTACAGTATCAGGATCTGCACAAAAGAGTGCAGAGTGTAGTATCAGCACAACCGACCCCATGTGCTGGTAAGTGCCTAGCCTAACCCCGGTGAAGTAGTGACGAGGCTAGGACCAGACTACCAAATAAACCTGTGCAGCTAAATCATATACAGCGGAAAATAAAAGCAGGTATTCACAGTAAAGGTGGGAGGGGGGAAAAACATGCTGCGGGGAGTATCAGATAACAACAGAATACCAAAGAGAAATATAGAGAAACCAAAATTCAATTGCTAACATGAATAAGAGAAACAAACACAGTATTCACTTTCATCCCTTTCTTGTTGCAGGCGTGCAACCCGATCCTATTTCAAATATCTTGTTGCAGGCGTGTAACCCTATCCCATTTCATATATCTTGTTGCAGGCGTGCAACCCGATCCCATTTCAAATATCTTGTTGTAGGCGTACAACCCGATCCCATTTTATATATCTTGTTGCGGGCGTGCAACCCGGTCACATTTCATATATCTCGTTGTAGGCGTGCAACCCGATCCCATTTCAAATATCTTGTTACAAGCGTGCAACCCGCTCCCATTTTATATATTACCGTTGCAGGCGTGCAACCCGCTCCCATTTCATATATCAACACCAATCATAAAAGAATCTCAGCAAGGAAACAATAATATAACAACAACATCCCGGCAAGGGAACAATAATATAACAACCTCCCAGCAAGGGAACAACAATATAACAACAACATCCCGGCAAGGGAACAACAATGATAATCTTCATATGAAACACGAATAGACCACAACAGAGTCATAACAATTTCAGTACAAGACTCACGGGCATGCTTGACACCGATATATAGATACTCGTTACCATGCCTATACGTCGTACTCCACAGTTAACACATAGCAATTAAGACACAACTCCTAATCCCTCCTGCTAAGGTTAGACCAAACACTAATCTCGATGCCACGAACACAATTCAAGTCTCAACTATCGTTTTACCTCTTGATTCCACCACGAATTCACTTGTATCTAGCCACAAGTTACTTAACTATATCAGTAAATGCTAAATGAATCAATTCTAATGCATGGAAATAGGTTTTCTAAATTTTTTCCCAAAAAGTCAAAAATTGACCCCGGGCCCGCTTGGTCCAAACCCGAAATTCGGACCAAAACCTGATTACCCATTCACCCTCGAGCCCAGATATATAATTGGTTTTGGAATCTGACCTATTTTTGAGGTCTAAATCCCCAAATTTAAATATTCTTTGGTTGTACCCAAAATTCCCAATTTCACCATGAAAACCCTAGATTCTAGGATGAAATCTTGTAAGAAGAAGTTAAGAAGTGAAAGAAATGAATTTAAAATCACTTACTTGTGTTTTGGGGAAAGAAAGAGTGCTTGAAAAATCGCCCTTTATGTTTTTGGTTTCTGAAAATGGTAAAATAACTGAAAAGTCCCGTTTATATACGGCTCTCAGACCCTCAACGCGGACTGCATAAAATGGATTGCTGCCGCGGAGCTCCACCGCGGACCACAAGAAATCTAGTGCGGCCGCAAAGGTAAGGCCTTGCCCCACCGCGGACCGCATAATCCCCTCAGCGGTCTCGAAATCCCCACCGCGGCCGCAAGAAACCACTGCAGACTGCATGGTCTGGTTCAGAGATCTGCAACTTCTCTGAACCTGCAACAGCTATGTTCTAAGTCTAAATTCACTCCGTGGCCTATCCAAAACTCACCCGGGCCCTCGGGGCTCCAAACCAAACATGCACACCATCCCAACAACATCATATGGACTTGCTCGTGCAATCAAATCACAAAAATAACATAAATAACTATGAATTAATCCTCAAACTTCATCATTTTTCTCAAGAACACTTAAAGTTCATTATTTCTCAACCGGGCGTCCAAATCACGTCAAATAAAGTCTATTTTTCACCAAATTACACAATTATCATTTAGATACCAAAATAAGTTTGTACTGAGCTCCGAAACCAAAATACGGGCACGATACCATCAAATTCCAAGCACATTTCATTTCCAAAAACTCACATATATTCCAGAAAATAATTTTCTTTAAAAATTCATTTCTCGGGCTTGGGACCTCGGAATTCAATTCCTGGCATACGTCTAAGTCCCATATTTTCCTACGGATCCTTCGGGACCGTCAATTCACGGGTCTGGATCCGGATCCGGGTCCGTTTACCCAAAATATTGACCGAAGTCAACTTAAATTCATTTTAAAAGCAAAATTTATCATTTTCCATAGATTTTCACATAATGGCTTTCCGGATATGCGCCCGAACTGCAAACGCAAATCGAGGTGAGACAAAAGGGAGGTTTTAAGGCCTAGGAACACAGAATTTATTTCTAAAACAAGTGATGACCTTTTGGGTCATCACATCCTCCACCTCCAAAACAACTGTTCGTCCTCGAACGGACATAAGAAAGAAGTACCTGAGTCGGAGAAAAGATGGGGATATCGGCTCCGCATATCGGACTCGAACTCCCAGGTCGATGCCTCAGCAGCTGACCTCTCTACTGAACACGAACAGAAGGGAAACTCTTCGATCACAACTTACGAACCTACCGGTCTAGGATAGCTACCGGCTCCTCCTCATAGGACAGATCCTTGTCCAACTGGACAATGCTGAAGTCTAACACGTGGGATGGATCGCCGTGATACTTCCGAAGCATGGACACGTGAAACACGTGGGATGGATCGCCGTGATACTTCCGGAGCCATATGAATGCTCGACTGGTAGCTATTTTTGTAGGCAAACTCTGCTAAAGGCAAAAACTGATCCCACGAGCCTCCAAAGTCAATAATACAAGCTCGGAGCATATCCTCCAAAATCTGAATAGTACGCTCTGACTGCGCAGCCGTCTGAGGATAAAACGTTGTTCTTAACTCAACCCGTGTGCCTAATTCACGCTGAACTGCTCTCCAGAAATGTGAGGTAAACTGCGTACCTCGGTCCGAAATGATAGACACGGGCACACCATGAAGACGAACAATCTCTCGGATCTAGATCTCAGCTAACCTCTCGGAAGAATAGGAGACTGCCACAGGAATGAAATGCACTGACTTGGTCAGCC